ATAACGCTTAAATATAAAAGTTTGTCACGCCGAATATGACAGATACGTATTAACTAATATCAAATTTTGCCTTGTCACAATATATATAATACTAGTTTGGCGCAGTATTCAAGTATGTTTGCCGTAATATGTAAGTTTACCGGTTCGAATCTCAGGCTACTTTTTTTTCATTTTATCAATCACGGGGTTATTTTTTCATAACCAGTAAAAATTTGGTAATGTAAAATTTTGCTCGACAATTTTTTTTTATAATTTTCGCTGTCGGGTAGAAAGAAATTTAAATAAAGTTAACAACAATTAGGTCAGACCATCGCGGGTGAAGTGAGTGGGCGGAGCGTGGATTGTCTTTGCGGGTTTTAAGAATGGTACGCGCGGAAACTATACGTACAAGTGTTATCTATATATGTGTGCGCGCCCACGCACACTGGAATGTTTATTGCAATCGACCAAAAATTTGATGTAGTTTGGATATTGACATTCAGTTTTTTTTCTTTGTTTCTTAAATATAATCAGTATCAGTAAAAGGTAAAAGTAAAAGTGTTATTTTTACCGGTACAAGTTTAACAAACATGAGTAATAAACAAATTACATGCCAATAGCATCGCTTTATCTCCTTCATTTTTGTTTGAAATAGAAAAGTACTTTAACGGTCAAACTCATTAGTCCAAGGCAATATCAAAAAGTACCTAATAACTACGGCGATAGAGTTTAATTACATGTGCTTCGATATTAAAATTAAAAAGTTTAAATATCAAAAAAAAAATAGTGGCTTGGGATTTGAACCGCCGACCTTACGTACTAACGGCGGCGAACAGTAAAGCCACGAGACCAAACTAGCATATATGATGACAAACTTAAATTTGATGTTGGTTTTATCTACCTAATATCTGTCATCCGCGTCGAACACTTTTAGTAAATTTTGAAAAATGGTTTGATGCAAAGTGTCAAATGAATGTAACAGAAGTAGTTTATTCCAAATTGTATCACAAGTATATAGAGATAGAGTTCAATTTTGTCAAATGTACCGATATTTTTGCGCACCTTGACTGCTTCGTTACTTATGACGCTGTGGCTGCTACGATATTTATGAGCATCTTGCATGTACTCATATATTTGACGCTGTGTATGTACCGATGTATTTGAGCAGGGTGAATGTATCTATTATTTTGAGGACTTTTGTTGTACCGATATAATTGAATACTTTTGGTGTACCTATATATTTGCATATCTTGTCTGTGACGATCTATATGACGCTGACTGTACATCCGAATATTCGTATTTATAATATTAGTAAGAGTAGTAAGAGCAACCTCTTTTTTTGTTGATAATATTAGCAGATTTTTTTTGAAAATTTACTAATATTTCTTTTACCATTCCAACTAAGCTCTAGGCTTGTGCTAGGATATGGTTTACGACAATAGTCGAATGCCGGGATTCGAACCCCCGACCTCGTGATCGGAAATCCGTACCCTTAATCATTAGGCTATTAACGCTTTTTAAATGATCTCTCGCTCTATCTTAAGAGTAGTGAAAGGGAAAGAGTTTTAACACATTCATCAGCCACCAATCCATCATTGTGTGTGAGAGAGACAACTAATTAGTTTCACTAACAAAAGAGTGAGACAGCAATATATCTCTTTTGCACTCATTGTGAAATATACGTTACAGGTCCGTGCATGTTCCGACTTCACAAAGCGCTGCGGGAACTGGTCTGAGGAGGTGAAGGCGATTACCTTAGGGGGTACACCAGGTCGGCCAAGCAATGTCACTATACATTGTTCTGGGGGGTACATGAACCTCACTTGGGACCCCCCTCTTAAACTTAATGCGGAAATTAAGGCATATAGTGTAAGTTATCTTCACTCTATACTAACAAATGAGCTATTCATTTGTTAGTATAAATAATTTTGTGGTAAAAAAGTATGGATTTTTATTAATGTTTATTGCGTTTTTTTAACAGATGAATTTGAGTGGCGTGGCAATATTTAGAGATCGCTTTGGTAGACTGCAGAAGGATCCATGGGGTCCTATGTACAGATCTAAGACCAATGATACTAGGACCGCACGGTATGTTATCGCTATTTTCTTGAATATTCAAAGACGCATAGAGTAATTTAATTTAAACTTAAGCAATTCCTTTGAGTAGATTTTTAAGAAACCTTAAGAAGCCATTTTTTGATATTATTTTAGTATTTTTCAAATAATATTCCAGCTTCGACGATTTACCTCCGAACACAAACTACACGGTGCGCCTGAGCGCGGTGACACGCACGCAGCGGCGCGGGGAGGAGGAGACCAAGCACTGCACCACGCCCCCCGTGCCGCCCGCCCCGCCCCGCATACGATGGTTCAAGGTCATTATACTATTATTATACACTAGTGGCGCCCGCGACTCCATCTGCGAGGGATAAAAAAAAAACGTAATTAGTAACCTATTTGTTCTACCAGACTATGTTCTATATGTACGCCGAATCTGATGGATGGATGATTGTCTAAAGGTATCTCCGGAAAGACTCAACGGATCTCTCTGAAATTTGGCATCGATGTAGAACATAGTCTGGTAGAATACATAGGCTACTTATTAAGTTTTTTTTAATACCGGGCGGACGGAGTCGCGGGCGATAGCTTGTTCATAATATTAGTAAGAAGTGAATATCTGTATGTATTTATTTAAAATTCGTTTATATTATTTCAGATTATTGAAAATGAAGAGTACAAGCTGAAATTGAATTTGCCGCGGCTGTCGGAAAGAACTGGACCGATTTGTTGCTACAGGTATATATTGCAATTGAAAAAATACCTTATACTATGGTAATCTTTATATATATAATTCTTCTGTGAGTGTGTGTGTCACTGAACTTCTCTCAAACTACTGGACCGATTTTGATGAAATTTTTTGTGTGTGTTCAAGGGGATCTGGGAATAGTTTAGATTCACAATTTTCATCAAATATTAACTTCATATTAATTTATTCAAATTAAAAACGTGTAGACAGGACAACGTTTGTCGGGTCCGCTAGTAGAGTGTATATTTCTATTTTTATAGAGATTTATGACTGTGTATAGTCCGTTTTAAAGTTTTTGATGGCTCAATGTCACTCCTATGTGACCTACCTTTACGTTACATCTAATATTGTTTGAAATAAGTAATAATTCGATGTTATAGGATATTCATGGTGAAGCTTCTACCGAGTACTGAATGGAGTAAACTGCCGTCACCGAGGGAAATAAGTATTGTGGATTACGAGGAGGCGCACAGTGTACGACCCGTGCTTGGCGCTTATCTAGCTGATGTCTTCTCACAGTAAGTCACTTACCGTGTGCTCCTGAAACCAAAATCCCCGTTTAAAACTTATTTTTTTATTTATTTAGTCAAAGATAATGACAGGGATGACGATATGTTTTATACAGAGATTTTGGTCCCAGAAACCAACGGGCAGTATAAAAATATTCAAAATTAATGCCGGCTCGAGTACATGTCATACGAGTTAAATGCCTGCGCTCTTGTGCCCTTATGTTTGAATGACATTATAACTAAAGTTAAAAGATCCAAGTCTAACCTAACTTTTTCTCGTTCTAACTTAATACCGTTATTAGATTTTTGTAACACGTTAAATATGTGTTTTAAATATTGTGACACTTGTATTGACATGTATTGTAGTCCCTCTTTTTTCAAAGGAAATATGAGAGATGACATTTTCACAGTCGAAAAACAATAAAAATTGTTGATGTCAAATTTCATTGAAATTAATTTAGTTGTCCATAAAGATATATAAAAATTATGTTTTTTTTCCAGTGACAAATTCCCTCCAATGGCTGATTCAATGGATATGATTATGGGGGATGACAGACCAATCTTCAGTGCTGATGACTCCACATTACATAGTGATATGTGCCGGCGTTGTCTCAAGCGACCTCGCCGACCCTACTACGACCCCCCACCACCTAAAGTGATGATCACCACCACCACCACATTGGCAACCACCACAGAAGATGAACTATTCGATGATGATATGTCCACTGATGAACCGGAGATCAAAAGAGATAGGAGATCTTATCCAGAAATAGAAAAGACTGATAAGTATGTCTGTTTTGTATAATTTATGATGTAATCTGTCACAAAGATTTTTATATACCGTTTGGAAATTGTTAAGTCTTATTTCTGGTATTTCATAATTTATATTATTTAGAATAAAACAAAATTAATATATGCCAAATTAAAGCGAGATTCATGTAGCCGTTCTGGAGATACCTTCAAACAAACATCCATCCACTCACCCAAATTTTCTCATTTATAACATTTAGTAAGAAGTTATATTGCGAATATCAAAGCCAACTGAGAAATGTTCTTGATTAAAATGCTGTATTTATTAATATTTATTTGTAAATTTAATGCAATTGTTATAATTCTAGCGATTACACAAGAAATCCAATGATGGGTGATAGTATGGAAGATGATTTCAAAGTAAAAGACGGTCTCCTAGATATCTTAGCTAATTATACACTCTTCGTTGAAGTGATTCGTAAGTATTACATTGCTGGCTAAGTAAGAATTAAAGTTAAATTAATCGTTATAAAATACGCAATGTATATTCACAGCTGCGGGTCGACTGCAAGATGAACCAGTGTATAGTGAATATGTGAATGTCCTGATGCCAGCACCAAGCCCCGCTGGGAATTCACCTCCCGAGGCAATACATATTGCTATAATGGTTAGTATTAGTCGTTTCATATATCTTGGAGGCTCAAGCTAAAATTATGTGCGCAGCCATTTACTTAAGAGCCGCCATCATATCTAAATATTATTATATAGTATATAGTAGAACGAAAATATTTTCCCCTCCCATGCATCCCCTCTTCCACTTCCACTTTCCATCCTTTCCTTGTAAGACAAGGGTGGGAAGGGTAAGAGGACTAAAAGTAGGCCTCGGGACGCACACTCATCAGACTTGGGATTGCTTCCATTTGACGCCTGTCTTCTGCATGGTCATGGTGTTTCACCGGGCGAGCCGGGACAATTCGTGCGAAGATAAAGAGGGCTCTACCACTGTTAAACATTTACATTCTTATGCGTTTTCTCCTCCAAATCAGCTTATTCCCATCGCTCATTGCAAATATTTGTGCCTGGCCCACTGTAATCTTTCACCATTTTGTTGCAGGTGTCCTCTGTACTTGCTGGTCTGTTGGTGGTGTTAGTGGGTGTCGCGTGTATTGTGCACTCGCGACGTTCACACAAACTGCCGCCACATGTGCACGTTGAGATGAACCCCTTGCAAGTCGCATTAAGGTAAACTCACACGGGCGTTTTTATAAACGCAGCTTTAGAACTCCGCGTTGGCAGTTCTTGGGGTACTAACGCTTAAGGCAATAATGCGCGATGAAAAGCGTCCTGTTTTTAATACGCTGCCGTTTGAACAGTTATATATAATAGAAATGCATTTTTTATTTGGAAGTTTTTTTTAACGCGCGTTAAAAAAAACACTCACGAGTATGATGGGTTAGTTTGGTTTTTATTATGTCTACAAATCCTCTAAATATTTCAAATAACAAAACCATGTATCAATGGTTAGTAGTAAAAATCATGGAATTACGAATAATTTAAGTGTTAGTTACATTTAATATTGAGTGAGTTAACACAGAATCTGTAGGAATGATAACGCTGTTCACTAGCCATGTAAAAGACATTTTGTTTGGATTTATATACATTTAAACTTATTTAATATAATCATTTTTTTTTAGATACGTAGTGGGTTCGTTAGGGGGTCGTCAGCAGTTGATAACAGCAGTTCCCCCAGATATGCCCCCCATTGCGAAAGAGGACTTAGCCGCTGCGTATGCAGAACGACAGGCTGACTCCGACTACGGCTTCCAGAAAGAGTTTGAGGTAATTTATCTCTTCTTCAATATATAATGCTAGTAAAATATCTTGAATTTAACAATTTTAAATAATAATTTAATTTCACGGTGACCGAACTGTATATTGTAAGTTACAAGTCGATTTTAGTTAATGAACTTATTTTCTTAATAAAACTTTATCATTTCTTATGTAATTAATTAAATTAGCTGTTTATGTTGTATATGAAATAATACATAAGCTTTAAAATAAAACCACGATTCTTTAATTATTATAAGTGTATATAAGTGTTTTTTTTTTGCTTTATTTCTATGTAAAATGTGTTACAAATTTGTTTATTTATGCATGAAATTACTATGTTTAACTTTTTTTAAATCATAAATGTTGTGTTTTCTACATTTATCCCCGTTTGAACCGGGTATGTGTGTGTTTTTAATTGTATTAAAACGGGCAACCAACCAATAAAGTTGTTACAGATGCTGCCGGAATGTTTCCCGGATAGGACGACACATGCGTCTGAGGCCCGGGAGAATCAACCCAAGAACCGGTACCCGGATATAAAGGCGTACGACCAGACCCGGGTGAAGCTGTCTCAGATCGACGGTATATCCGGCTCTGATTATATCAACGCTAACTACGTTATGGGATATAAGGTTGGTATTTAAATTTAGACTTTATTATTTATGTGCTTGAAGCGAATTTATAAAAAAAGTTCAGTAGAATTTTAATAATTACTTTTTACTAAATTTTTTTTGCTATCTGTCCTTATCTGCTAACAAAGGATCCAATGGACTCCAATCAGGTACAGCATAAATTGCAAAAACCTTTAATTTGATTTTAATATCTGTTTTGTTGACCGTATTTTTATTTGAGAATTATGACGTCATAATATAGAGTATGAACATTTTTTTATGTTAAAAGGAAAGGAAAAAGTTCATCTGCGCCCAAGGACCAACGGAGACGACTGTGAATGACTTTTGGCGTATGATCTGGGAACACGGATTGGAATTGATCGTGATGCTGACCAACCTCGAGGAGTACTCCAAGGTGAAGTGCTCCAAGTACTGGCCTGATGATTCTCGAGGACCTAGGGCATTTGGAAATATCACCGTGTATCATGTATCGGAGAAAAGGTAAATGCTAATGAATAATTCTTTTCTTTTCTGTTAATACCATTTGTAATTTCAACTAAAATTCCTTAATGGCATTGAAAGCGTTAAAAGCTAATTCCAAGATAAAATTGTGTATAAATATGCCAAAGACTGTATTTATTCTGAAACTAGCTGTGGCCCGCGACTCCATGTGTTCTTCCAGACTACATTCTACATCTATGCCAAATTTCAGCTAGATCCGTTTAGCCGATCCATCGATTCATTCATCCAAACATTGACATTTATAATATTAGTAAGATACAACCGGCTTCTTCCAGGGAGCAAGTTATCAACACAAGTAAATTTAGCTACTTACTGATGTGATAAAATATTTAAAAATCGATCCAGTAGTTAATTTAATGAGAAAATTCAATTAACTTCAATATAACTATGAATAATATTTGATTTGTATTAGGTATTCAGATTACATCGTGCGAGAGTTGAGAATTATGAAGCAGCCTGTGAACTCTGACGGACAACCTATCATTGAAAATAATGGCATTAAGAGAAATGGAGGTAAATAATTCATAGCACTTAAATTCACCAATAAACTATCCAAAATGGCCGCCACAAACAATAACAATGTCACCCGGGACTGAAACTTTCCAACAGTGAAAGAATAATTTAACAGTGGTAGAGCCCGCTTTAACATCTTCGCACGAATTGTCCCGTCTCGCCCGGTGAAATACCACGACCACACAGAAGACAGGCCTCAAGTGGAAGCAATTCCGCGTTTCCTCTGATGAGTGTGCGTCCCGGAGGCCAAATTTAGTCCTCTTTCACTTCCCATCCTTTTCTTATAAGGAAAGGATGGAAAGTGTAAGTGGGCTTTCCGGATGAGAGGATGCATAGAAAGGGAAAATATTTTCTCTCTGTGCATCCTCTCCTCCGTAGATTAAAGGTGGGCAACGCATATGAAATTGCGTATGTCTATGGGCAACAGTCACTTCGCTATTTCAGCGATTTCAGGTGGCCGCTCGCTCGTTTGCCACCTTATGATATAAAAAAAAAATCTTCAAATTGGTTCAGTTTCAGAGCCTTTTCAATGCAAACATTTTAATATTGCTTGTTTTTGTCTAGATTGCAAGGAAGCAGCGGATGGCAGTCATCCCAATTCCCCGCAGACTCGAAACGAGTCGCGACTAGTGAGACAGTATCATTTCCTTATGTGGAAGGACTTTGCTGCACCGGAGCATTCTTACTCAATTTTAAAGTTTATTAAGGTAAAATTAATAACTAATTTGTACAGGTAACGTTAGATGAGAATTTTTATTGATTTAAATTTTATTTTGATATATAATTGTGAGTATAGTAATATTACTATAATATTGATAAGGCGAAAGTTTAGATGGATGTTTGTTAAAAGATATTTCGAGAATAGCTTAATGGATCTCACTCAACTTTGACATAGATGTAAACCATAATCTAGAAGAACACTTAGACTAATTTACCATCTTTTGACCACGTCATCATTTTTATCAAGTGGTATCATGGTCAAACGATAGCTTATTTAATGTAAAAAAAAATAAAAAGAAAAATATATTTCCTGTAGAAAAAACAACAAGAAAACCACTCAAACTATACTTAAATTATGATTAATCGAAATAGCATCGTCTTTCAAATTTCAATAAATATATTGCAACAGCGTGTGAACGAGGCGTGGTGTAACATGGTGGGGAGACCAGTGGTGGTGCACTGCAGTGCTGGCGTGGGCCGCACTGGCACGCTAGTGGCGCTCGACTGTCTGCTGGAGCAGCTGCGGGCCACTGGACATGTGTCTGTCTTCAACACTGTCGCTGAACTGAGGCGTCAGAGGAACTTCCTGGTGCAGTCTCTGGTGAGTGTCGGCGTAGTGGAAAGTGACCTTTCATTATAGAAACTATAATATCTCCATAATGGAGTAACAATAGTAAAAATTGGATAGTTTTAGTATGTTCATAAAGCGCCTAAAGCGCCTTATAAACGGTTGAACCGTTGGTCATAGTGGACGTGTGTCATTTTTGAGATATTAATTATATTATAAATTGCTAATGTTTGGATGGATGGATGGACGGATGGATGTTTGTTTGAAGGTATCACCAGAACTGCTCAAGGATCTCGTTGATTTGTCATAAATGTAGAACATAATCTGGAAGAACATAGGCTACTAATTCAGTTTTTTTTTAAATTACATGCGGACGTATTCGCAGGCGTTAGCTAGTGTGTAATAAATTAGACGACCGACATTTTAGACATGACAGTTAATGACAAATAGGGAGGCCAATTTGTACATTTGCTATCAATCTACAAATATCGTGTCATAATATTTGATTTTTTTACAGAAACAATACGTATTCGTATACCGAGCATTAGTTGAGTACGCGCACTACGGTGATACAGAGATCCCCGCCTCGCGCCTCAAGGCCAGTATCGATCGCCTGCGCAACACGCCCGAAGGCGCCGACAAGTGTCTCATGGAGCACGAGTTTGAGGTACATTGCTAGCTTTACAAACATTACCTACTACATGCCATTATAGTTGACGCGCAATGTATTAAAAGATATCCAAAAATATCGACATTAGAACACAATGTTTGATGTACATTGCTTATTAACCATACATTACCTACAACTATGCTTCATATTCTTCGCGCAGTGTAAACATAACATGTCTTAAAAGTTGTATTTATTTTTGTAGAAAATGATGAACAGTCCAGTAGCGGAGGCTGTCAAGTCGTGCTCTGCTGGTACTGGGGAGGAGCTGCGCGTGCGCAACCGCAGTCCTGACTGTCTGCCATACGACCGTAACCGCGTCATACTCGCGCCGATACCCGGCAGGGACTTCTCTACGTATATCAACGCATCCTTCATTGAAGGTACTATACGTGCATGATAACATATCTAAGTCCGATGACGTCACTTAAGGAAATAATCTTGAAGTACATAATGTAATAATTTTAATACGTTTACGAGTCCTTCAGTGTTGATATTGTGTGAACAATAACAAAGTATCTCGATGTGATGACGTCACAGTTACAGCAAAATATTAGGTAACGAAGGAATGAGAACTGAATCAATGTTTTAATATTTTAAACAAGGAAGTTAGTGAAGAGTTAGTGAAGTTTACTTATGTATTTTATATAAAATTGAATGTGTTTCAGCGTATGACAATTCGGAAGGATTCATTATAACTCAAGACCCGATGCCAAACACTATTATGGACTTTTGGAGGATGGTGTCAGAACATAATGTGGCTACTATTGTTATGCTCAGTGAGGTAAGTTAAAAAACTTAAGTACTGAAGTCCTAGACTCAATCCAAGCGAAATAAAAAAATATATCAGAAGTCTATGTGTTCTTCCAGGCTATGTGCTACATCCATACAAAATTTCATCGAGATTTAAGCCGTCGGTTAGAAGATACTTTCAAACAAACATCCATCCATCTTTACATCTAAACATTAGTAATATTAAAATATATTGTTATCAGCTGGGCGAAGGCAAGTGCCCGCGGTACTGGGATGACGGCACAGCGCAATACGAGCACCTATCTGTCGAGTATGAAGAGAGCGAGTCCTGTCCGTATTACACTAGGCGACAGTTCAGGGTCACCAATAATAAGGTAACAATGTACCTACTGACTTTATTTTTTGAGAAAGTAAAGATAAATTTTGATGCGCCAATAGCCTAATGGTTAAGATATGGATTTCCGATTACGTGGTGGAAAGTTCGAATTTCGATATTCGACTATTATCGTATACCATTTCGTAGCAAAAGCCTAGAGTTTAGATGTAATGGTACAAGAAATATGAGTAGTAGTAGTAGTAGTAGTAGTAATAGAAATTGACGGTAAAATAAAAATAAACAACATACAAAGTAAAATTTTACCAGACATTTGATTTTATAACTTACATATACGATGGGAAGCTGAAGTATTTTAAACACATAATATATTTTTAATTCGTACAAGAAACTATATAACTTACACATATTTTTATGTTAGAGTGGCGAATGGAGCGAGGTGCGACAACTACAGTACCAGGGCTGGCCAACAGCGGCGGGGCACGTGCCCGAGGTGACGCGCGGCCTGGCTGAACTTGCCGAGCTCGCCGCACCCCTCGCCCCGCCCACAGACACCACGCGGCGGCCGCTGCTAGTGCATTGCCAGTGAGTCACAACCCTAACTATATAATACAAGTGCTCAAGTTCGGTGTACTCGAAGTCTGACAACCCTAATTATAATCTACTTGTACTAGCTGACTGTGGCAAAGGAGGCTCTGGCAAGGGACTGACAACCACATAAGATAAACTGACAAAATGTCATATGAATGTCAGGTAGTCAGACTCAAGTGACAACTGTACACTTTTACACTTATTTAAGAAACGATACAGGCAGTAGAAAAGATTATAACCCATCCCCATTTTAATTTCCTTGTGGATAAAATGAGCATTGGAGCATATATATTGTTGAATATAGATTGGAAAGCATTATGGGCGGGACTTATTGTCAGTTTCTGAGACCAAACTTTCTGTATAAAACATATTTTCGTGCCTGTTATAACTGACAAAATAGATTTAACAATATGTTTTAAACAAGGTTTTAGGTCTCAGAAAACCACTGTTACTGGTGTAACTTTAACATTGTTCTGTATTAGTCTGGGCACGGAGAGGTCATCACTGTTCGTGGCGCTGTGCATCCTGATCTGGCAGCTGCGCGTGGAGCGACGCGTCGACGTGAACTGCGTCGCGCGCAAAGTGCGCTCGCAGCGGGCACGCACCATAGACACATTTGTACGTACCATAGACATTATTAGAACTTAAATAACTCTAGTAACTCTGTAACATATCTAGAGCGAGATGGGACAATTTGAATAAGGTTGCAAGACTGCAATAATTAATATTTAAGTTTGAATAATTACTTTGGAACGATTCTAAAACTGACTGACTTAGATCGGTTATTTTTATATTAGCAGATTTTTATTAATTTTATAATATTTCTTGTACCATTTCTTGTAAGTTCTAAGTGCCAGTATATGGTTTACGATAATAGTCGACTGGCGGGATTCGAACTGTTCGACAATCTGATTGGCTATCCGTACCCTTAACCATTAGGCTATTGGCGCTTTATTTGTAGGCAAATGGATAAAAAATGATAATAAGTAACCTCAGATAACTACGTCTAATAATTTTAATGTTATTTTTTTTGTTACAGTTACAATACGAATTTCTACACCGTGCCATATTGAATTACGCGGAGCTGCATAATCTATTAGAAGATAGCTAAGCTCATTAGACAAGCAAATATCATATTTAAGTTTAAAGGCATAAGGTCGAGAGTCGCTTGAGTTCCTTCAGTATAGCGATGATTAAAAAGTTATATACCATTTTTTATCTGTGCTCAAAAACAATACGTATTAATGTTTATGTATTATTTTGAAATTAACGATTATTCTCTTCTATCCTTACAATTTATTTATATGTAAATCAGAATAGTTTTTTTTCTTTCGCATGTGAATTAAAAAAAATCGATTGACATTTCCATATTAATCAATTAAGATATTTTCGAGACTAAAAAAAAAATATTTTTTAAACCTTTAACATTTATCAGGAAATATAAATTACATTGTAAACCAGACTCGAATATTTTGTTTAAGATGCGAACTTGCTCATTAAAATAAAAATTATTTGAAATGACATTTCAGATTGACGTCTGTCAATGTCAAAGTGACATCTGTCAGAATAGGCATTTTTTTTTTGAAATTATTAGCTCAATAAATTTGGTTGTATATCGCGTTATATCTAGATTAATTTGATAATGCCTAAATATGACTATTTTTTTTTTGTAAGTTCGAACCGGCCGTAGATATATAGGATTATGAAATATATAGCTAATCCAGCATCGCTTGACCGCTTTCATGTATTACAAGACTTACTGTGGGTTTCTGAGACCGAAAGTTTCGTTTGAAACATTTTTATCTCTGTTTTGACAAAATGAAACGGACATGTTTTATACAGAGATTTTAGTCTAAGAAACCAATGGTTAATTTTCTCAGATTGTAGTTTAAATAACGGCATTTTGATGTACATATCTATGTCATGACGTCACCATTTTATAGTTTTTTTTTGTATAACCAAGTACCATAAATATAGATCTGTGTCTTTATTTTTTAAGGTGCACAATGTACAATTTTTTAATCTAGTGTCATGTTTTTTTTCATGGCGAGTTCTTTTAGTTTAAACCAGTTGTATATTAGGTTGTCTGTTATGTTTTGTATAATTACCATATATATTTTTTAATTTACTATTTTGGTATTAATGTACCAAATTAAAATCGTGTCCAAAGATGTATGTGTGTGTTTGTATGGAATGAAAATATCGTTGTAGTATTTACAAATGAAAAATGTATTTTACTTATTTATTGTTTTTTTTTAAATGGCTGATGCAATCGTATGTGCATATTAAGTTATTAGGATCGTATCTGTATTGCGGTTTTAAAAACCCCAACCTAATTTTTTTTAATACAATTTAAGGCCAAAAAAAATACCCCCAAAATTAGCACAAAAAGGTACGTGCATATCGTATTTTGGATCAAAATTGACGTATAATATTTAAATTTTAAAAAAAAATGTAAATATTCATTAAAAATGTATTTGTTTGCGAATACGTATGCACAGCCCTTTTTAAAAGTTTTTCGATGTATTTACTATTATTTAGGTATTTTGTTTAATATAACAAGACGGAGTATATGTCTTGTAATCTGACTTTTTACCTAGGCTAGGCTATGTACATTTAGATTTTCTATGAGCATTGATACGATTGAATGTGGACGTGTTGTGTGTCTACTGTCTGTTTCCACTGTCGAAACATAAGTGTTGAAACTTTTTGCCATCTCTTTTGTTCTACATTATCATGTAAGAGATGGCAATATGTTTTTGTACATGTTTTAGTAATGGGAACTCACGGTTTTGACGTCTAAAAGATTGCGTATGTTAGAAGGTCTTGCATTCACCGCAATTTGATGAGGCTTTTTTTATTCGACTATCCAATGTATGAAATGTAGGCAATTGTTATTTAAATAGTTAAAGAAATGACCACCTTGTTGAATATCATCCAAATGGATGATATTATGCAATACCTAGTCATTTTTTTTATTTAAAAATGACTAGGTATTGCATAATATCATTTTTTTTATTTAAAAGTCAGGCAGTTTTTTTTATTTAAACGTAAATCGCATAGTAAAGTGATATTTATGAAAACACATCTTGATCTTTCGTTTATTTCTCTTTTAGTAAAGAAATTATTAGTTTTCTGGACTATTTTCTTTTATAATCTGTAGAAGATCTATAGTTCTAGTATGTTATGTAATAGAACTTTGGATTTTTGTCTGTATATATGCGATTTACACTTTTTTTTTAATTAAATAAAACATATTATACTATTAGAAAACCATTGAAGTATTTTGGTGTGTGCAAGACTCGACTACGGACTGATGTGTGTGGGATAGCTTATCGAAATAAGGCTTTAGGGATGTTGCGAAGTTTTTTTTTTATATAAATGAAATTAGTTTGTAAGTTAGGCTAAGTTATTGAATAGGCAGCGATGAACGAAAAGATTTTTTGTCACGTTCGAAATAAATACATATTAGACTTCCGTATTTAGCAATTTATGTATAGATGGATGGATGGATGGATGGATGTTAGTTTGAAGGTATCTCCGGAACGGCTTAACAGATCTCGCTGAGATTTAACACAGATGTAGAACATAGCATAGAAGAACACATAGCCTACTTATTAAGTTCTTTTTTTTAATTCCGTGCGGACGAAATCGCCGGCGACAGTTAGTTCTTCTACATATATATATAGAAAATTTCCAGTCGTGTTGTATGTTCACGATAAACTCCAAAACTACTGAACGAATTCTTATAAAATTTAGTAAGCATCTGTTTTTTGATCCAATTTGTGATAATTTGAACGCCACTTATAGTAAAGAGAGAGTCAGATATATGAATAACATGAGATAGAAATAGTTCGTTATTTAATTCTTCGCGTAATTTTGTTAATATGGAAGTTTATAATGTATATTTAACGTGACTTTATGGTATTGTGAAATTTACTAACGTGCATTTTTATATAAAAAAAATCCTGTCCTGTAAAATTTTAGGCTTGATTCGTACTGATTTAATATTAAGTATATAAATTAATAATTAGTTTATATTAAGTTACGCTAAACTTTGATTTGTTGAATTTATTTTAAGTTGCCAAAGTTTAGTGCTTTTATAAGTTTCGTTCATGTCATGTCATTCATTCGGTCGTTTCGTTCCTCGCTGTTTTGACGTAACCCTATTTGGGTAACATTTTGTCGTACAATATTAAAATTGCTTTTATGTAGTCAAATGTTGCAATATTATAACATCTGCTTATTTAATATTAGCATATTTTGTAGTCTGAATCAGAGAGAAATTTATATCATAAGGAAATTACAGTCTGTTTTATTGAGAAGTATATCCTCCATTATATATGGCATACATATAGAACATCATCATCATCATCAACCTGCCCTTATCCCTATCAAGGGTCGGCACAGTATGTACTACTCCTCCATACATCCGAGTCTACCCCCTTCTACACATATCCTCTTTCACACAGTCATTCCATACTTTTTTTTGGTCTTCCTCTACCCTTGTAGCCATTCACATTCAAACTCATTACTTTTTTGCTTATATCATCATCCCTCCGCATAACATGTCCAAACCACGCTAATATTTTACTCCTTAATTTCTCGATCACTGGCGCTACTTTCAAACTTCTAATATACACATATAGAACATAGTCTGTAAAAACACATAGGCTACTAATTATATTTTTTTTAATTCCGCGCGCACGGAGTCGCGGACGACAGCTTGTATTTCAGTAAGTTAAGAATATATTATTTTTCTTAATTTATATCCGGCTTTCAATGTTACAATGAAAATTTTGGATTTAATTTTGATGTAAATTTACACGGCTCTATTACTAACGGGGTATTGAATAAAACCAAATATTATTAGCCATTTTAAAATAACCGATTTCATTCGTTTTAAAATATAAGTAAAAGTACAATTTAAATAGAAAAATCTATAGGTTTATATCTGATTACATATTATTTATATAAAGGAACAATTAAAAACCAGTTTGTATGAAACAGATGTATATGTTATATATAAGTGTGAGCAGGATAGCCATACTTCTCAATGAAACGCTGTTCAGTGATTAATTTGGTTAGGTACGCGTACATTCGTCCGCATCGGACGCACCGGAAGATCGGATTAAACGGCTTTGTCTTTAATGCGGTCGACGCGGATGAATGCAGCGCTGTTATACACAGCAAACTAAAATCCGTTGCCTGCCGTGCGTGCGGTGCGTCCGACACGTGCCAATGTACGTGTACCTTAAAGCGCTTTTTTGCTTTGTAAATATAATTTTAAGTGTACTCCGCGCAAATGTGGACGGTGTGATTGTATCAAAACGTTTTTCTACGTAACTGTGGATTACCACTGATGTGGCGTTATTAATATAGCCATCCCTTTCTTTCTCTGTGATAAAACAGAGACAACTGTATGTTTGAATACGTGTCACATCAGTGGAATCCAACGGTATTTAGCGGCTGTATTATTGAAAGCATTGGTTGTATTTCTAATTTTATTTTTGTAAAAAGATAATGCAGGTCATGTAATACAATATTTTTTAAAATATACCAATATTTAGAAATCTTTGTGTTATTTTTGTCCTACTAATATGAACGTTTTGTTCTAGCATCCCTATCCAAATTCTAATAAGAAATTTACCCTAAATTGCACTTTACGTTAACTAAAAATTTGACTCGTATACGCCTAGGTTTTTTTTACATAAATCTAGTGATAAAAATAGCCTATGTCACCCGGTGGTAGTGCAGCTCACCAACAGTGAAATGTCTTTGAAATCAAGCTTATTTAATGCAAATAATCAAATCTTTAATGTAGCGAAACGAAGTACTGTTCAATTTTCTTTTGAGCAGTGACTTGTTTAGCCCTTAATTTTTACAAGAGAATTTGTAGGATGACGATATGTTTTGATACAGATGTGTCCACAATGAAAACCTAAACATTACGTATATTAACATCGATTGAATGGGATAAACATCAAAATGATACTTTATAGTTCTGGAATCAGTAACACGTCGGGACACTACAACAAGCTTCCGCAAGAAGGTTGTAATAGGGGACCTACAGTTACTTGAAACCGATTACGTAATATTAAAATTGTTACAACCTTTAGTACAGGATAGTTTTCTGTTCACGTGTTTAATTACGTGGAATTCCAATCGCAGTAGTTTCGTAATATTTGAAAGTTTTTAAAGTTACAAAACTTCTAAATTTCATCGAAACTAATTAATGTTTTTTTTCTCAACTTATCCAAAGTTT